GTGTAGTTCGTAGTCGTAGTCGTAGTAGTAGTCGTCGTCGTAGTCGTAGTCGTTAGTAGTGTAATGTATCAGTCGTAGTTAGTTGTAGTAGTAGTAGTAGTAGTAGTAGTAGTAGTAGTAGTAGCAGTAGTAGTAGTAGTAGTAGTAGTAGTAGTAGTAGCAGTAGTAGTAGCAGTCGTTGTCGTAGTAGTCGTAGTCGTTGTAGTAGTCGTTGTAGTAGTAGTCGTAGTAGTAGTAGTAGTAGTAGTAGTAGTAGTAGTAGTAGTAGTAGTAGTAGTAGTAGTAGTAGTAGTAGTAGTAGTAGTAGTAGTAGTAGTAGTAGTAGTAGTAGTAGTAGTAGTAGTAGTAGTAGTAGTAGTAGTAGTAGTAGTAGTAGTAGTAGTCGTAGTAGTAGTAGTAGTAGTAGTAGTAGTAGTCGTAGTAGTAGTAGTAGTAGTAGTAGTAGTAGTAGTAGTAGTAGTAGTAGTAGTAGTAGTAGTAGTAGTAGTAGTAGTAGTAGTAGTAGTAGTTGAAGTAGTAGTAGTAGTGGTAGTCGTACTAGTAGTAGTAGTAGTAGTAGTAGTAGTAGTAGTAGTAGTAGTAGTAGTAGTAGTAGTAGTAGTAGTAGTAGTAGTAGTAGTCGTAGTCGTAGTCGTAGTCGTAGTAGTCGTAGTCGTAGTCGTAGTAGTAGTCGTAGACGTAGTCGTAGTACTCGTAGTGGTGTTGTTGTTGGTGGTGGTGGTGATGGTAGGTAGTCGTAGTTCTAGTAAGTGTGGTTGTGGTAGTACTATCGGTCGTAGAGAGCTTGTGTTGGTGGCAGTCGTTGTAGTTGCGCCCTATGGTGCCACGGCACGTGTGAGGGGTGTGCCGGGTCAGGTGCGTGTGCGCCATGCGCACCCTGCCGCTGGGGCCTTCGGTGGAACTTCCGCCAGGGCCGCGAAACGTGTGAGGGTTGTGCCGCACAGGGTGCGGGTGCGCCATGCGGACCCTTTCGCTGAGGCCTTCGGTGCAGCTCTCTATGGGGCCACGGAGCTTGTGAGGGGTGTTCCGAGTCGGGTGCGGGTGCGCCGTGCGGGCCCTGCCGCATGGGCTTTCGGTGGGGTTCCTATGGGGCCGCGATGCGTGTGAGGGTTGTGCTGCATCGTGCGCGCGTACGCCATGCGGAACGTGACGTTGGGGACTTCGGTGGTGCTCCCTTCGGGACCACTTGGTGAATGAGAGGTGTGCCAAAGCGGGCGCGGGTGCGCCATGCGGACCTCGCGGCTGGGGCCTTCGGTGGAGCTTCCTTCGGGGCCACGATGCGTGTGAGGGATGTGCCGACTTGGATGCGGGTGCGCCATGCGGACCCTGCCGTTGGGGCTTTCGGTGGAGCTCCGTGTGGGGTCACGAAGCGTATGAGGGGTGTGCCGAGTCGGGTGCGGGTGGGGTTGCGAAAGGTGTGAGGGGTGTTCCGAATCGGGTGCGGGTGCGCCATGCGGACCGTTCCGTTGGGGCTTTCCGTGGAGCTCCCTGAAACGTGTGAGGGTTGTGCCGCATCGGGTGCGGGTGCGCCATGCGGCTCCTGCCGCTGGGGCCTTCGGTAAAGCTCTCTCTGGGGCCACGGAACGTGTCCGGGGTGTTCCGAATCGGGCGCGGTTGCGCCATGCGGACCTTGCCGCTGGGGCCTTCGGAGGAGCTCCTATGGGGCCATGATGCGTAGGAGGGGTGTGCCAAATCGAGCGCGGGTACACCATTCAGACCCGGCCGCTGGGACCTTCGGTGGTGCTCCCTATGGGGCCACGGTGCGTGGGAGGGGTGTGCCGAATCGGGTGCAGGTGCAGGTGCGCCATGCGGACCGTGCCGTTGGGGCCTTCGATCGAGCTCTGTGTGGGGCCGCGATGCGTGTGAGAGGTGTGCCGAATCTTGTGCGGGTACGCCGTGCGGACCTTGCCGCTGGGGACTTCGGTGGAGCTCCTTTCGGGGCCACGAAGCGAATGCGAGGTGTGCCGAATAAGGTGCGACCCTTCCGCTGGGGCCTTCGGTGAAGCTCCCAATGGGGCAACGAAACGTGTGCGGATCGGATGTGGGTTCGCCATGCGGATCTGGCCGCTGGGACCTTCGGTGGGGCTCCTTATGGGGCCACGATGCGCGGGAAGGGTGTGCCGAGTCGGGTGCGGGTACGCCATGCGAAACTTGCCGCTGGGGTCTTCGGTGGAGCCTGTCGGGGCCACGAAGCGTGTGAAATTTGTGCCGAATCGGGTGCGGGTGCGCATGATGGTGATGAGATGAGGGCATGTGTAGGGCAGAAGCAGGGATGGGAGGAGGCCATTTCTTTATGGCTTGGGGCATGACGGGCGTCATGGCCCCCGCCCCCCCTCCCCCCCCCTATGACGTAACGCTCCCCCCCCCCCAGTGCGCTCCGGCCACTGCCGCCGTGCGCATTGGGATCCGCGCAGGTGTCCGCGTAGGAGTCCGCATAGGTGTCTGGTCCGCAGGCGTCGTCATCGTCGTCGTCGTCGTCGTCGTCGTCGTCGTTCGTCGTCGTCGCTCGTGTTTCGTCGCTCGTTGCTCATCGTCGTCGTGCGCGCGGACGCGGCTGTTAAGTCCGGGCCGATGACGGCAATCATCTGGGGGGGGAGGGGGTCGATGACGTCACGTTTCGCGCCGGCGGCGTTTGGGAATGGTTAGGAATGACGGAGGACGGGTAACACGTACATGTAGGTGGCGATATGCACCACAACGCCTGTGTACATCACAGTGCCCGCGTGCACCACAGCGCTTGTGCACACCACGCCGCCGATGTACACCACAGCAGCCGCGTGCAACACAGCGTCAGTTTGTGCCACCGTGCCTGCGGGCACAGCAGCTCCTGTGTACACCACAGCGCCTCCGTACACCATATCAGCCGTGCGCAACACAGCACCAGTGTACACCACAATGCCTGCGTGCATTGCAGTGCCTGTGTACGCCACGGCGCCTGTGTGCACCACATCAGCCGTGTACATCACAGCACCATTGTTGTGCATAGAATTTCAGAAGGAATCCTTGTGACAAAATGGAGCGCGTGTGGATTCCAGAGAAAACAATGGAAAACAAATTCTCATGGAAAAAGGAGCGCCGCTGGAATCTACGAGTCCCCCCGAGTCTGCCCGCATCACGCTAACTCCCATTTGCGTCCAGGAGGCTCCAGCTAAACTGGCCGTCCGAGAACCAAGTGGACCGATTCAATCGACCATTCTGCGGTGCACGCTGAGATGCGCACGTGCGTTGCAACGCGAAGCCGCACGACAGGGGGTAAGAAGGAGGAAAAAGAGGACGAGGAGGAGGAGGAGGAGGTGGAGGAGGAGGGGGGAGGTAAACATGTCGCATTCGATTCTCAGTTTTTTTCCTGGCGTGGCGTTTAGTTGCCCGCATCACATCCTGACGTACATGCTCCTTCTACCTGTCCTATGCACGCAGGCACTGTAGTGTACACCAGCGTTGCGTTGCACGCGCATGCTGTGGTGTAGACAGGCGCTGTGGCGTGCACAGGCGCTGCGGTGCACGCACGCACTGTGGTGTACACAAGCGTTGTGTTGCACATGGCTGCTGCGGTGTATGTACACCGGCGCTGTGGTGCTCCCAAGTATTGTGGTATACACGGGCGGTGCGTTGCACACGGCTGTTGCAGTGTACGCAGGCGCTGTGGTGCACGCGCGCGGTGTGGTGCACGCTACGCGAGCGTTGTGGTGGACACAGGCGCAATGGCAGATCGCCACTTACATGCTGCTCGCGTCGTCGCCGTCGCTCGTCGCTCGTCGCTCGTCGCGTCGCGCGCGCGGGCGCGGCTGTGGTGCTGGAGCCACACGGCGGGGGGGGGGCGTCACGTCATACCCCCCTCCCGCCCTTCCCCCCCCCATGACGCCCGTCATCGCCGAACATGAAGAAACGCCTTCGAGGAGGGAGGAGGCGGAGGATGGAGGAAGGAAGGAAGGAAGGACCGCGGGGCGCTGTCTCCTCAAAACGAGGACCCAACCCCGCAGGATGGTTCGGAAAAACACATAGAACAAATTCTGCGCGGGAGTGGTTCGAACCGGCCGAGGGCCGACGTCGAGCTCCACGGTGCGTGTGCCGTGGTGCCCGGCATGGGGCGGCTGGCAGCCGAGTCCGATGCAGCAGGTGCGCGCTTTTCCACCACCACTACCACAGGTAGGAGAGGGAGGAGGCGGAGGAGGAGGAGGAGGAGGAGGAGGGGGAGGTGGGAGAGGAGGAGGAGGAGGAAGAGGGAGGAGGAGGAGGATGAGGAGGAGGAGGAGGAGGAGAAGAATACGAATCGTTATAAGAGGAATAATAATAATAAAGTTACTAATGCTAATAAGAATGATGCGAATACTGAGTATACTAAGAATAATCATAATACTAAGAACAGGAGGAGGAGGAGCTCCTCATCCCCCTTCATCCCCCGTCCTACATATGGTAGTGGTGGTGGAACATTTGCCCACCAAGGGAGCGGAGAGCGCGAGGGCAGCACAAGCCTGGTTCGTATGGTGTTGTTGGTGGTGGTGGTGGCGGCGGTGATGCTGCTGCTATTGCTGATGGTGTTGCTGATTATGTTGATGGTGATGTTGGTGGTACTGATGCAAGTGGAGTTGGGTGTTGGTGATGATGTTGGTGCCCATGCCGATAGCGATGGCGATTACGATGGCGTATGATTGTAATGGTGGTGATGTTCAGTTACAGTGACCGTGACGACGATGAGGATCCGGAATGTCAAGATGTTGGCGATGGAGATGCATAGGGGGCGAGCGGAGGAAATCGATGCTATGGAGGAGCAGAAAAAGGAGGATTACGATTACGACGTGTGGAAACGAAGGGCGTAGCTGGAACATGAATGAGGAGGTGGAGGAGGAGGGGCAAGCTGAGGAGATGGAGGAGGAGGAGGACGATCAGGATGCTGAAGAGGGTGATGAGCAGAGAGACGAGCGAGGGAGCAGCAGGACAAGGGGGTGGAGGAGGATGACCAGTGGGGACTGTGGGCACAGGGAGGACGACGAGGCGCTCGCAGCAGTTCTTTCGTCATGGCTACCACGCGGGAGCCTGCGTTCCTCATCCTCTCGCCGGAGTCTTCGTAAATATTCGCCCCTGCGGGGGTCCCTAGCTCCTGCCCCGACGTGACTGTCTCGGGCCAGTCCCGTCATGTGCGGTTGCTGCCGCGGGTGCATCCACAGGTGCAAGACTACGACAAAATCCATCGCAGATGTGGACTATGTTCCGGGCATCGAGAGAGGCCGCGAGACCTTTACGGACCGGTTCCTGTATTGGCGCGGCACCCACCTTTTGCTTTGCCTTGGCTGCTGGGTGGTAGCTGGCATCCTGGAACTGATAGACGCCGCCCTCGGCATGAAGACCATGATGGATGGGATTCCAGAGGATCTGAAACAAGTCATGGGACGCATGGTTCTCGCTCAGCAGATCGCAGAATTTGCTGGAGTGGGCGTATCATTGATCGCGCTCTACTATTGTTTCGAGAGCTACCAGCACTCGCGACCAGTTCAATTCGGGCACAGCGTTACGCTGTTACGGAGGTCTTGGGTGATCAATTTTGGTTTCCCATTTGTTATTTACTTGGGTTTCCCGTTTGCCTTACTATTCAACAAGACTCTGATGGATCAGAAGATTTGCACCACGGCCTTGGCCAGCTACGTCCGCAGCGGGCCTTACGCGAGGGACGCGCTTGTGATGGCGGCCAATCACGCCGGAGATGGCGAGCTGGCCCAAGTGGGAACGGCGGCACCCCCGCGACATGAGACTGAGCTGGAGGGCTGGCAGGGCGCGGCCTGGTGCACCCGGCGCGACTGGTCCGTGCTGCTCTTCGGGACCCCGCCGTCCATGCCGATGGCCCTTGGCTTCGAAGTTCCGTCGCAAGGCTCGGCTGGGTGTAAGGGTGACTCTTCGTAAAACGACGCGAAGATCGGGACAAAATCGGATCGGGATAATTCGAAATCTCTGAGAATCGGCGGGTTTGGAGGATGTATTGGGCGCCGCGGCCGCTCCAGAGCGTTCCGGAACGCTCTGAGAGCGCTCCGGAACGCTCTGGAGCGATTTATCCCGATCTTAGCCCTGTTTTAGTAAGGGTGACTCTTCGCCTGAATGACATCTGGCACGGGACCACAGGGCCCCCCCGCGGCACTGGCCCGCGCGCTTGGCTTGGGCCCCCCGCGGCCCCCTGAAGCCGCGCACCAAGGGTCGCTCTGATCCAGGGCTGCTCTTGTGCGTTTTCTGCGTTTGGTAATGAGCGTTGGCGGGGCGCCACCCCCGCCGACAGCCCCAAATCGACCCCCGTCGCGGGCAGGTGCTGCCGCGCGACGTGGACCCCAGTCGGCCCACGCCACCCGCCGCAAAAGCCAAACCCCCTGGCCCACGTGCGCGGCCAGGTTGACAGTGACCCCCGTCGGAGGGTGACCCCCCCATTCCTGTTACCAAGCGCAGAGTATCGGGGAACCGTAAGACTCGAGTATGCTGGAACTCGGGTTCACCATCGCTTTTTGACGAGCCCGCCCTGGATTTTGACGGTCCAGTTTTCGTGGGATGTTTGCAGCGAGAGCTCGCGCCAAATTACAGATGGGGTCTCGTCATTTTTATGGTGGTCCCGTCAGGCCAACCCGGGTCCCCCGTGCCCGAGTCTTACGTGGGGGCCCCCAAACGGGGTGGTGACCACACTGTGTGGTGAGTCTGTGGGGATTCGGGGTCACCGCACGGTTTTGGGACTTGGGTCGTTCTTCGAGGATGCCTCGGGCGAGAGGGGCCTCCAGGCTCCCAAGACCGTGCGGAGACGGACCGTGCGGTGAGGTCTCCTGGGGTTCCGAGGTCGCCGCACGGCCTGTCACCATACGGTTTTGGGATCCCCCCGAGAGCAGCCCAGAGGCATCCTCCCGACGGCCGTGCACTACATGGAGGGCCTCACCGACTCCCGGTGCACAGAAGCACCCTCGGCCCCCCTGGCGATGCTGGAGGCCGCGTCTCTGCCCGGGGTCGACGGCGGCGCCGCCGCCGGGGCCGCCGGGGCCGCGGGTACGGCGAACCCCGGCCTGGAGCGACACGGCGTCGGGCCTGGAGCTCAGGCCTGTATGACCCAAGAGGGGGTCCAGCGAAAAGGGGGTGTTGCAATTCTAGGCCTCCTAGATGGGGTCCGAGTGGATGGGGTCGGAGGATTGCGCCGCATCGCCGATGCATCGCCGATGCGGCTCGATGCGGAGCTCGACTTGCTTCACGCAGACGTCGCCGATGAGTCGCCGACGTCGCGGATGCATCGCCAGTGCATCGCCGATGCATCGCCGATGCATGGCCGATGCATCGCCGATGTATCGCCGATGCGGCGCGATCCTTCGACCCCATCTACTCCGACCCCATCGAGGAGGCCTCTAGCAATAGATTTGGGGCAATCGATTTGTGGGGTTGCAACAGAGTTGGGGCGTGCAATACGCTCTGGTGCGCAGAGGTACTGTTGGGTCTTCGCGTGCAACGCATTAGTTGCAATACGATGCCATGTAATTCTCGGGCGCAATACATGTGCAATACCATCGCCCCAAATCTATTGCAGCACCCCGTTCAGCTGGACCCCCTTTTGGATCAACCGAATCAGGGGAGCAGAAGACCCAGACCCCCTCGCGTTGCGAACAAATCGCGGCGGGAGGTTTTTCGCTATTTTCGGCCTCCGGGCCCTTCCCGGTCCCCTGGACCGTCAGAAAGCGACTCAGGACGAGAAACCGGTCCCCAGGAAAGGGTCCAGACTTTCACGACGTCGGGATCTGGAGACACCGATTCCGTGAGATCCTGGCACTTTTCCCAACCATCCTGTGGTGTTGGGTCCTCGTTTTGAAGAGACGGCGCCCCGCGTTCCTCACCTCCTCCTCCTCTTCCCCCCCTCCCTCCTCCCATCATCATCATCATCATCATCATCATCATCATCATCATCATCAGCATCATCAGCATCATCATCATCATCATCATCATCATCATCATCATCATCATCATCATCATCATCATCATCATCATCATCATCTTCATCATCCGTAGCCATTTTGGCTCAAGTTTCGGCCTGGCGCACTTTTTCGCAGAGGATCTCCGATATGCCGACTTCGCAGCCGTGCCGGCGCTTCAGTTTCAAGTCCACAGCTGAGCTCGGGCTCCTGGTACCGCGGCTTGGAAGAATGGCGAATTTCGTGAAAGAGTCATCCGACGTGACCCCACTCGCCAGAGATTTCAGCACAGACATCACGGGACAGATGGAGACGCGCCTCACGATGCTGCATGGCCGCTTGTGCGAGTCGTGTGGGCGCACTGCGAACCCCAGCCTCGCAAGCCGACGGGGCTTGTCCGTCACCGTGGACACCAGGTGGAGGGTGTCGAAAGATGGCGTTGCGCGGATCACGCAATCGGCGGCCAGCGGACGCCTCAGCGGCAGCAGCGCTGGTAGCGCCTGCAGCAGGACGTGTTCCAGCTGCGCCAGCAATCCCAGCCGTAATGCAGGCAAGACATCATCCGCCAAGCGTGCCGGCAGGGGCGAATTCGATGATGATTATCCGGCGAGTTTTTCGCGGCAGGTGTCGACGAGTTCGAGCACTTGTCCAAGTTCGGCCAGCTCCCGGGCCCCACAAGAGCTGTCGAAGGACCCGCAAGCCTTGCTTGCCCAGTGGCGCGATTCGTACAGTTCCTGGGCGCGGCAGCACGTGCAGGTCGGATTTCACTGATCGTCCGGCGGTGCTGCGCAGTGGGGGGAGCCGCCAGGGTCGAGGATTCGTAGAGCTCGTGTGGGCTATGCGCACGGGTTGCGTTGCACAGCCTTCCGCATCCCAGTGCGTTTGCCTTGAAGGCGAATGCAGCGGTGTTCTTCGAGGTTAGCGGACCCTCTCCGCTCCCCCATCCTCCGCATCCGTTGTGCAAGGTGTACCACATTTGTACTTTTGCTTGCCCTGTATCATACATTATCGAGGGATCGATTTGCGAGCGGGGTTTCAATCCGCCCAAATCTCTCGCCGGACATGCCAAGTTGCTATTCGAGTTGCTGGCGAGTCTGCCCAGCTGTCAGAAGATGACAGCGTCTGCTGGACATCTTGCAACTAGCGGCTGATTTCACATGTGTAGCGATAGTGTGGTGGAGCGCAACGAGCGGCGCGCCGCTGTGGGCGTCACAAATGCTCAAGCCCAGGTTGCAGCGGCATCCCCTTTGCCGTTGCGATGGTATAGATTGCACCACTTCTTAGAGGTCTGGTGTTGCCTGCCATCTGATGCGGCAGGCCAGGATGGGAGCGTCCTCTCCGCAGGAAGCGGTGGCCAAATGGGCTCACAGTCTGCTAGGTAACAACGAGATATGACGGGGGAACTGAAGGGGGAGATATGGGGAGATAGGCTGGGGTGTTGTCGGGGGGTGCGGGGGTTTTACGTGTGGTGTCTGGATGGGCATCTCGACCTGAGTACCGTCGGACATGGCGAGGCCACATACGTCGAAGCGCGTCGGGTATGAAGCGTCACCGTCACCGCTATTGTGGATACAGGGGGCCCTAGCTTCGCAGGTGCCTCTAAATCAGATCGGGTCTGGCTTTGATTGGCCATGCGCCCATGCACCGTGCCTCAGGCGAAACATATTTTGACCTCGGGCGGGACGGTGGCTGGCACAAGAGTTTAAATGCCATCCGGCTAATATGTTGATCGCACGTGAAGTTGTCTATTGCGGTTGTATCGTGTAAGTGCACGTGCCTTCACATTTTTTAGATTTTCGAATCAGGATCGCTTGTTCGGGCGCGTTCGAAGCGACTTCGATTTAAACCGCGGCTTACAGCATGCGATCTATGTATGTGTACAGTTCAGGACACGCTTTTGTCTCGCAGCCCGCGGAAGGTAGAGTTTTTTTCTGACGCCCGCCGTGGCAATCTGTGTAGCCGGCTTTCGGCCGCTCTCCAGAGCTCGCACGGCGAGCATTCGGCGGCAGAGCAGAGCACAGTTGGCAGGGAGGTGGGGAGGGCTCGGGGACGGGTGCTGTCGGGCCGGGGTAGGAGAGTCCGACTGTAATGATTGCCATGATTGCCCTCAACTTCCGCAGCTCGCATGGGCACGACACGGTAGTCGTGTGACGACAGCGGTCGGTTGGTGCGGTTCCCGTTGTTTCAAATTCTGGACTTGCTCGCTAGAAAGTTGTTTGGCAAGCCTCGGTCTGTTTCAATTTCTGCCGTTTTCGTTTAGAGCTCGCGCATTGTCGCATGATCACACACCTTGTTCTGCGCACCATGGGTGTTACGGACATCGTTGTCAAATCATGTTGCCCCCCGCGCGCAGGAAAAAAATCATCGTCATCATCATCATCATCATCATCATCATCATCATCATCATCATCATCATCACCATCATCATCATCATCATCATCATCATCATCATCATCATCATCATCATCATCATCATCATCATCACCACCGATTTCGGCACACCCCTCACACGTTTCGTGGCCCCATAGGGAGCTCCACCGAAGGCCCCAGTGGCAGGGTTCGCATGCCTCCCCACCACCCATTTCGGCACACCCCTCACACGTTTCGTGGCCCCATAGGGAGCTCCACCGAAGGCCCCAGTGGCAGGGTCCGCATGCCTCCCCACCACCCATTTCGGCACACCCCTCACACGTTTCGTGGCCCCATAGGGAGCTCCACCGAAGGCCCCAGTGGCTGCGTTCGCATGCCTCCCCACCACCCATTTCGGCACACCCCTCACACGTTTCGTGGCCCCATAGGGAGCTCCACCGAAGGCCCCAGTGGCAGGGTTCGCATGCCTCCCCCACCCCCGCATTTCGCACACCCCTCACACATTTCGGCACACCCCTCACACGTTTCGTGGCCCCATAGGGAGCTCCACCGAAGGCCCCAGTGGCAGGGTCCGCATGCCTCCCCACCACCCATTTCGGCACACCCCTCACACGTTTCGTGGCCCCATAGGGAGCTCCACCGAAGGCCCCAGTGGCAGGGTTCGCATGCCTCCCCACCACCCATTTCGGCACACCCCTCACACGTTTCGTGGCCCCATAGGGAGCTCCACCGAAGGCCCCAGTGGCAGGGTTCGCATGCCTCCCACCACCCATTTCGGCACACCCCTCACACGTTTCGTGGCCCCATAGGGAGCTCCACCGAAGGCCCCAGTGGCTGGGTTCGCATGCCTCCCCACCACCCATTTCGGCACACCCCTCACACGTTTCGTGGCCCCATAGGGAGCTCCACCGAAGGCCCCAGTGGCAGGGTCCGCATGCCTCCCCACCACCCATTTCGGCACACCCCTCACACGTTTCGTGGCCCCATAGGGAGCTCCACCGAAGGCCCCAGTGGCAGGGTCGCATGCCTCCCCACCACCCATTTCGGCACACCCCTCACACGTTTCGTGGCCCCATAGGGAGCTCCACCGAAGGCCCCAGTGGCAGGGTTCGCATGCCTCCCCACCACCCATTTCGGCACACCCCTCACACGTTTCGTTCCAATGGCGGGAGCTCCACCGGCACACCCCTCACACGTGGCCCCATAGTGAAGGCCCCAGTGTCCGCATGCCTCCCGTTTCGGCACACCCCTCACCGCACGTTTTCGTGGCCCCATAGGGAGCTCCACCGAAGGCCCCAGTGTCAGGGTTCGCATGCCTCCCCACCACCCATTTCGGCACACCCCTCACACGTTTCGTGGCCCATAGGGAGCTCCACCGAAGGCCCCAGTGGCAGGGTCGCATGCCTCCCCACCACCCATTTCGGCACACCCCTCACACGCGTGGCCCCATAGGGAGCTCCACCGAAGGCCCCAGTGGCAGGGTCCGCATGCCTCCCCACCACCCATTTCGGCACACCCCTCACACGTTTCGTGGCCCCATAGGGAGCTCCACCGAAGGCCCCAGTGGCAGGGTCCGCATGCCTCCCCACCACCCATGTCGGCACACCCCTCGGCACACCCCTCACACGTTTCATGGCCCCATAGGGAGCTCCACCGAAGGCCCCAGTGGCCTGGTTCGTATGCCTCCCCAACACCCATTCGGCACATCCCTCACACGTTTCGTGGCCCCATGGGGATTTCCACTGAAGGCCCCAGTGACTGGGT